TGGTCAGAGTCTATGTACTGTGCACATGTTAAAAAAGGATGACTTGGTGATGGGATACCGGCCTCCATGGAGTTATTTCATTTTCAAAAACCAAGCAGTTCATGCATGGAAATAAAACTTATATACACCAAAGAAAAGTAGCTAGGTTTCTGGAGATAAGGTTGTTCTAAGGAAGGGTCGCTGGACCTGAAACGTTAAGTCTGACTTTTTTCTTCACAGACGCTGCCAGACCTGCTGAGCTTTTCCAGCAACTTCTATTTTTGTTCCTGATTTACAGCATCCGCAATTCTTTCGGTTTTTGTTCTTTGTTCCTATCAGGCAGCAGGAAGCTGTGGGGAATGGAGATGTGCGGGGAGAGGTGTTTCTGCACTAGACCGAGAAATGTAGTGCAGAGGAGTTAGCGATCTGAATTGTAATCCCCGTGATCGAATAATGGTAGAGAGGGATCTTCCCCATCCATGAATATACCAGGCTGCTGGTTAAAGTGAGGGTGAGGACGGGCACCAACACAGCACCGGAGAAAGGAAGTGGTCGACTTGCCTCGATGTAGGTTTCAGAAAGAATGATTGTAACCTTCACCAAGAAACATGACCTCCTAAAAGTAGCTAAGGTCAGTTTTGGGATAGCAAGAACTGCAGATGCTGGAGTCAGAGGTAACACAGTGTGGAGCTAGAGGAACACAGCAGGCCAGGCAGTATTAGAGGAGCAGGAAAGTTGATGTTTCAGGTAAAGAAGAGTCCCAACCCGAAACATCAACTTTCCTGCTCCTCTGATGCTGCCTGCCCTGCTGTGTTCCTCCAGCTCCACACTGTGTTATCTCTAAGGTCAGTTTTGGCATGGTTACCAATCCACATACACACCGATGGATAAAGCTTTTACTCTCCTCTTGTCTCCTTATATATTTACCACTTCACCATCACTAGTTGCACTTGAGAAGGAGCTGGTGAGCTGCCTTCTTGAGCCGCTGCAATCCATGTTCTGTAGGTAGACCCACAATATTGTTAGGAGAGCGAAGAGGTGTCTGTTTCGGTATTTTGACCCAACAACACTAACAGAATGCTCTCCCTAAACCTCTCCAATCCCTACTTTACTTTTGCTATGCAAATGGAAAACTCTGCAGTTTTCCAGCACATTATTTGCCAGCACCCCAAAAGCACAGCCCATGCTGATGATTCACCGCCTCCATCTCTCTCTGTGGGAAGGCCACATGGTAGAGTTTGTGCGATAAAACGGGTGATAACTGCCCAGATCTGGGGTAACAACTGAACATTCTGCCCTGTCATCTTTCCTCCAATGGCATGAGGTGCTGCACTTGGTTTGAGAAAGGTTCCCCTACTAATATAACAGTGGAAACTTAACAAAGAACACTGTGCAGCAACCTTGTATAAGCAATAAAACTTCAAAGTTGCTTCACAGGAGTGTTTTATAACCATAGTTCGTACTTAACCAGCTGCAAGGCAATACTGGGTGTACAAAAGGCTGGTCAGTGTAGGAGTGTCTTAAAAGAGGAAAATGAAGTAGAGCGCTGGAGAGGTTGAAGGAGAGCATTCTATCAATGTCATTGGGTCAAAATACTAAAATACATCCCTCTGCTCCCTTAATGGCATTGTGGATGGGGTCAGTCTTAAAGGGAACTTTGTCTAATTTCCAGCCTTCAGTTGGATTCCTGCTAGACTAATGGTAGCAGTGTGCCAGAGTGACTGCAAAGTTCCAAACCCTTGCTTTCCTAACAATAATCAAGGACATGGATCAAAATGTATTCTTCATCCCTCAGGGCTCTGCTTGACATTTTTACAAAGACTAACTCTTGACTTCTTTGGGGCTGCCCTTTAGCTTTCAGGGCTTCATTCTCATTCTCACTAACTCTTTTCTTGAATGACGCAGTCACGTAATCTCTATTAAACTTAAAGCCACAATACACAAGGGAATTATTCATTTACCAGACCATTATATTAAATTGACATACAGAAAACAAGCATTAATTAATAACATAATTTCTGTTCCAAATGACTGAGACACACTCTAAATGGTCCAGGCAATGCTGTGTTGTAAAATCAACTAGTGACACAATGTAAACTGTGGGAGATTGGGAACTGCACTGAAATTCTAGCATTTTGGCCATTTCCCCTTCTTTTAGTTAAAGTATGGGGTGGGCGTCTTTATGAATGAGACATTCCACTCCACCAATAATGGGATCACCCACTGGATAAAGTGCCAGTCACACACCAAAATGCTCACCTGGTGGTCTCTACGGCCCATCACTTCCTGGGATAGTGATATCCCCCACTCTGCCTGAAACCACCAGCCAAGCAGAGGCTGACAGACATTGTCAGGAGCAGCATTTCCTCAGAGGCCATGCCTTTTGGTTGCATGGCAATATCGAAGCCCAGGAAGAGTGGGCAAGGGAGGCAATTTATATTTTGGGGAAAAGATCACAGAATGAGGGTCACAAGGAGAAGCAAGGTCAGAGGCAAGGACAGGCAAAGGCAATCAACTACCCCTACCCTGCATTCCGATCCCTGTCTGGAGCAAATCTAAGCACTGCCGTCAACTAGTCAAGAAGTCTGCTACTTTTCTCAATGGCTAGGAACAAAATTAATCATTCAGATTAGGCCTTCAAGTCATTAATTAACCTCTTGAAAGCCTTAATTGGTGGGAAGGTTGACCATTTTCCTCTCTTACAGAACTTAATCCCTGAGATGGAAGATGTTTCCTATTCAGTCCTGAGATTTCAGTAGCATTCAATGCATCATTTAAACACCTTCTTTGTATCAGTTTTCAGTCCATTCAGTGTTTCAATTTCCAGCTTTTTCAATACTCTTTGAATGTCTCAGCCTTGCCCTCTGCCTTCTCTTTTTCATCACAAATTGGCTCCACCTCATCTCTTCACTCCACACCTTTCGAAGACTTTTAGGTTCGCACTTATGTTCGCTGCCACTCTGTCCTTATAGTCCCTTTCGTCTTTTCTGATTTGCTTTTGCACTTCCTTCTGAACTTCCTATACTTAGCCTGGTTCTCACTTGTATAACTGATCTGGTATCTGTCGTAGGCGACCACTTCATCATACTCTCTATCCCTTTCATCATGCAGGGATCTCACTTTTGGTTGGCCTACTCTTGTCCCTCCTGGGAATGTACTCGGACTCTGTTTGAAAGCCTCCTCTTAAGGCGAACTGTTTTACCCAGACAGTTTATGATCTGGGACAGAATGAAAGTATTAATCAGTTGCTCCTCGTCTTGTTCCATAGCTAATGTAAACCTTATAATACAATTCGCTTGGTCCCTTAATATTTCTCTATTGACATCTGATTCTCCTGTATCACCTGCAGTCACATACAAACTCACACAGAAACGCATTGTAAGCCAACACATTATTTACATTGCATTAATCAGTTTGAATTATGTAACCTTTCATTTCTTTCTAGTTCCGGTGGAGTCCTGTGTATATTGGATATAGGAGCACAAGGAGGCTTTTCCGCCTATTGAGTCCGTCATTAGATTCTTAATTCCAGATTCCTTTTTATTGAATTCAAATTCCACCATCTGCTGTGGTGGGATTCGAACCCAGGTCCCCAGAACATTATCTGACTCTCTGGATTAACAGTCCAATAAACATAAAGAAAGCACACTTGCACAAGGAAATTCAAGAAAACACCAGGCACCAAAGAGGCAATCTTCTCTCAACTATAAAATATTGTTGATTAACTTTAGAATCCGTCAATTTCAAATTGCAGAGAACAGGGTAGTCAAGGGGCAGCTTATATGTTGAGGGTAAGGGTGATACAAATAATTGATCGTCTGTATAGTGGGTTTTGGCCTGCTCACTTTATACTAATTAAGCTGCTTACCACCAATCTCACCAACTTTGAAGGGTCACGGCCAAAGATTATTGACAGGCATGTCCAGGATCACCATTGTTCAAGTCCTTAATGTTTTGAGAAATATATTATTGTTTTAAAATTTGTTGGGGAACCAATCTTATCATTTTCCAGAACTAGACCAGTTGACTCCTCCAGTCGGGTCTAACATTGCTAATCTGGGAATCCTATGTAAGTTTTGTTTATTGGAAGCTGAAGGTCCTTTGCAGCATCTCTAATCAGGATGGTTTGTTCTGATACTCGTGTTCAAAGCTTGTCAACTGGTATTTAAGTCTGGCATTTAAGACTGTAAGTAAATCATGTTGCAAAAGTAACATTATATCAAACTTCCCAACATTGTTATTTCTAATGCGAATTCCTTGACAGTTCCAGAAAACTTCAATATGTGGGGGCTTCCATTCAATTTTGGACACATTGTTTATTTTGACTCTCTTCAATTTTCAAATCATATTTTTGAACTGTTTTCCAAAAATCCCATTGCCCCAAAAGCTCATTCTTTAAATTACACCCGGGAAAACCATTTGCAATAAGATGTAGTGGTTGAATCAGAACGATACAATTTTTAATATTCATTCACAAGATTTGAGCATCAACTGGCTAGACAAGAATTTATTGGCCATCCCTAATTACCTAGAGGGCAATTAAGAATCAATCACATTGCTGTGGGTCTGGGATCATGTATCAACCAGACCAGGTAAGGATGGCAGTTTTCTTCCCCAAATGGTATTAGTGAACCATAGGAGTACTTCCCTGGATAATCAACAATGGATTTGTGGTTATCATTAGACTCTTAATTCCATACTTTTATCAGATTCAAAATCCACCATCTGCCATAGCAGGATTTGAACACAGGTCCCCATGACATTACCTGGGTCTCTGGATTGACAGTCCAGCAATAAAGCCACGAGGGCATCACCTCCCTTATTTCAAATTGACTCTACAAGTAATATATTCGGATGCTGGACATCTAAACTAAAAACAGAAAATATTTGAAATCCACAGCACAGTAAGCAGCATCTGTAGAGAGTAGGAAACAGTTAATATTTCACACCTGTAACCAGGAAGAGAGTTGGTGCCAGTCGGAGATAGGATGGCTGTTCACATGCCAATCAGGCACCTTGCCAGTCACAGTGGAGGAGCAAGACTGACGATGCATTGGGTGTGGACACCATGCATAGTCAAAGGTCTAAGAGCAATATGTGAACTGGGATGGGCACCCACACCTTGCCAGTTGGCAGCATGAGGTGTTTTGTAGCAACATCAGTTACTGACGCACATTTTTACCTTGAGCTGATACCAGCTGTTCCTCTGTCTGGCAGCCTTGAAACCTTGGAAACACTACCACCTTCCCTCTACCTGTGGATCGATTTTGCACTGGCCGCTCCCAGAGCAGCAGGAGGTGCTGTTTCCTGGTGATGATGGCAGAACCTCAGTGGCCTGGATGGACAGAGCTTACTGCAGAGGTCAGCAGCAATAAGATCCAAGAAATCAAACTACGCCCAGTGCTGAGAAAGAGTCAACATCCTCCTCACTGCTGCTTGGCCAAGTGGCACAGAGTGAACTCGCTGCACATTGGTACGTCTGATGTAAGTGTGTGAGTGGAGAGGGCTTTTAGGATAGAGTGTAGGATTGTAGGCTTCAGCACAAGAAGGTGCGTGTGAAGTGAATGTGTGTGGGACTTGATGACGCTGTGTAAGTTGTACCAATTGCAGGAAAGTCGTGTGTGTGTGTGTGTGTGTGTGTGTGTGTGTGTGTGCATGCTTGCATATCTGTGTGTGTGTCTGTGTGTGCCTATAACGTCTGTGTTGTGTGTGTGGATCTCTAGTGCATGTCTGTGTGAGAGTTTATGTGTTCATATATGTGTCTCTGTGTGTGGGTGTTTGTGGGTATATGTGTGTGTGTATGAGAGAGAGCGCGTGTGCGTGTGTGTGTGTGCGTGTGTGTGTGTGTGTGTGTGTGTGTGTGTGCATGTGTGTTGAACCTAATGCCATGGGCTGTCATTGGCCTCCAAGCTCCTGAAGGGGTTGGGGATTATCATGTGAGTGTAATGTCCCCTCCATAGAGAGATGAGTTGGCCATGGAGAGCCAGACCCAGCACACCCCTCTGCGGCTTGGCCCTTTATTCATGGCTCTGTGCAGCAGTGGCTAAAATATAGGGGCACGAGGTACCCTGACTTCCCTCCTACTGACTCTTCTCATCCTGGAATAAGGGAGAAGCCATTGCACACTGAAAGGGAGAGGAAGTGCCAGCAATTTGTCATCTGAGGGTGAATCCAGCTTGTCAATTTCCCGAGGCTAGTCATTCCTCATCCTTCTGCTGTGTGAGGTTTTGCAGGGAATAGCAGGCTGTAACCATCGATGAGTCTGTCTGTGGGGGTACTTGCTATGTCTGGGTGGAATGTCTCCTTCCGTAGCTCAACGGCCTGGAACACTTTTTAAAGACTGCTGTGTGGCTCTGTGACTCTAAGACCGTGGTAAAATCTAAGGTGACTGGTATAAAATTACCATTCATTCCACTGTCAGCCGTCTCTGACATTTGTAGGCAGTTACTGTGTATGTGGTTTATTCAGTCATGTGCGATTGCTGAGCCAGCACCCTGACCCTCGGCTGTTGCTCTGTGTTGTCGTTCTGGTCATTGCTAAGCCCGATCCTGGGCACATCATTTACTTGATCCTGTTCTCCTCTACCCCAGGCAGTCTGCCTGGACTGGACTGTGGACCGAAAACCAGCAAAGAACTATTTGGTTTTTCTATTGACTTGACGACTGCAGAGTGTTAGGGAGTTCTCACATCCCAGTCTTCAACCGCCCCACCATGGCCAGATGCCTTCTTATGTTCCTGCCTTCCAATGTATCTCATGTGTAATCCCTTATAACCACAGAGCCTCTTAGTCAGTATTGTGTTCCTGATCCCACCACTTGGGATAGATTTTGTTACCTCTGATTACAGGCTGACTTCTCCATTAGCTAGGGAACACAAATAGAGGAAGCCACTCCTTTGCCATTGTTGTTATGTTGTGAGAGCTAATTCACACAGCAAGATTTCACAAACACATAAAACCACAACCTCTGTTTCAGAACTTCAAAAGAGACATGGCTGAAACTGAGGGAAGCAAATTCATGATCTCATTGCTGCTTGTGGGATCTTGCTGAGTGTAAATGGGAGTTCCAAATTTGCGCAATGGTGCCTTTCTCAATAAATGTTCTCTTTACGGGGGGAATCTGGCCTGTAACCAGAGGCAGAGTGTTGTGATACACATTGCATCATTCCACAGTGGATGTTAAAGTATGTAATCTGATTAGAGTATTTCAAAATGTACAACAGCAATCATGCCTTCATTCAATTTGAGACCATCAATTAGGACATTCAGGAATCTTTTGAGAGAAGTAATTCCTCCTCATCTCTGTTTTAAATCTGCTGCCCCTCATCCTCAAACTGTGGCCCCTTGTTCTGGATTAACCCACATGGGGAAGCCTAGTCTTTCCATCAACACTATTAATCCCCTTTAGCATCTCATACACCTCAATTAAAGCTCCTCTCATCCTTCCAAACTCTAGCAAATATAGGCCTAAACTGTTCATTCTTTCCTTGTAAGATAAGCCTTTTATCTCTAGAATGACTTTGTGTAGTGTCAACTGCCTCCAATGCAGCTATATCCTTACCTCCTGTAAGGGGACCAAAACGGTATGCAGTACTCCACTTTAATGTGCAATCATCATCTGATTGTCAGAGACAGGGAAGTCCAACAGCCTCACTTACTGGGGGTGATGGGAGTCACTGCTGGAGAGGAGGGGGACTAACTACTAAACACAGAGTGCCCTGGAGTGATGTCCCCAGACTTGCTGGCATCCTCTTTCCCATTGGGGTGTTATGACACCTTCAGGACTCGAAAGTTAAAAGGCCCCAAGGTGATTAGGAACCTAATTTCTTTAGCCTGGTTGTTCCATGAAATGTCAGCCGAAGGGGGAGAAAAGGCACGAGAGTAAAAACAAACAGGAAAATGGCAAAGCAACAATCTCAGATTAAAGCAATGTAACCATAAATATGATAACTACAGTTAGGTGAGCCAGCATCCCACCCTCTCCTAAATATACTCCACTTCCAGAGTCCAATCTGAATGTATCTGCATGGTCAAGGTTCACAACCCATTATTCTTTTAAGAGTTTATTTCCCAATCTAATATCTGAACGTCCAAATAACAACAAAAAAACACATCTGTGGCAACAATTGAATTAACCTTACTGTTCCGTCTGACTGATTTTTGGATTGCAATGTCTTAAATCTTGTATCAATTCCACATCCTGATTTAGATGTAGATTACATTTAGATTTTATTGTCATGTATACTTGAATGCAGGAGTCCAGTGAAAAGTGTATAAGGTCACCATTTTGAATTTGTGAAGAATCTAAAGACATTTTGATGGGGACTATTCTGGGTTTATCAACAACCATCAAATTGGTGAATGACATTTACTCTTTGAAGCAGCTATCACTTCCAATGGTACTGACCTGGAACCACAGAGATAGCAAGAACTGCAGATGCTGGAGTTGGAATCAATGCAGTGTGGAGCAGGAGGAACGCAGCAGGAAAGGCGGCATCAGAGGAGCAGGAGAGTCAACATTTTGAATTGGGACCCTTCATCAGGATCAATAATCATCAGCATCCTGATGAAGGGTCCCAACCCACAATATCGCTCTCCTGCTGCTCGAATACTGCCTGACCTGCTGTGTTCCTCCAGTTCCACACTCTATTGACCTGGAACCGCAGTCATTGGCTTTCAAATGCCACATAGAGCTTGGTCTAAAAATTCACTGGTCGAGAGAGTCACTTAAACCTGGACAAACACATCACATTGTATGGTAAGATTGGATTGGCTGTCTCTTACTTAATGTTTCCATCAAGTCTTTTTAAAGCTCTGTTAAAACTCTTACTGATTTCTGGGCTATGAAATTTGACCCATTCCTGACAATTGCACATTTGCAAGCTGCCTGTCTCAATCAACTGGTGGGAATCAGAAACTTTCCCGATCAGATCTGGAGTCAGGCAGGGCTGCCCACTCTCCCCTGCCTTGTTTGTGTGTTGTGTAGAGTCTTTTGCTGAGTCCATCAGGAAGGATGCAAGCCTGATAGGGGCAGGCAGTAGAGGCCCTGCAGGTAAAAGCCTCCCTGTACATGGACAACGCTGTTGTTTAATGCTTGGATCCACCGTCAATGCACAGACTCAGGAGCATCTGCAACAGGTTCAAACTGGCCTCCAGAGCCAAGGTAAATTGGGGCATCAGGGAGGCCATATTCTTTGGGAACTGATCCTTTAACCTTTTCATTGTCAGGACAGATTAGGATGAACCTGGCATATGCTAAAATTTGGGTGAAGCATATTGCCAAGGTGAGGCAGAAACTGGGCAAGTGAGAGCACCAGTCCCTCTCCACTGCGGGTACAAAGCCAGTCATCAAGCGTGAGATACTCTCAGTCTCAGCTGTACATGGCGCAGGTCTGGCCCAATCCCAAAACCTGAGCTGTTTTCTATTTCATCTGGAGGTCTAAGATGGACCGTGTATGCAGGGACACCATGTACAAAGCTCTGGATAAGGGGGACAAGAATGTAGTCAATCCTGCCCTCATCCTGATGACCACCTTTGTGTGATTGCTGCATCAAGCTGCAAATGTGCAATTGTCCAAAGATTCAGGTTAGGTGCATTAACTATGGGTAAATGTAGGGTTATGGGGATTGGGTAGTGGGGGTGGGTCTGGATGGGATGCTCTTCAGAGGGTCTGCATGGACCCGATGAGCAGAATGGCCTGGTTCCACATTGTAGGGATTCTATGATTCAATGGAAACGGTGTATAGACCTTCGGTACACAAACATAAAGTGTCACAAGGTCCTGATGTTCTAACTGTCCCCAGTGTTGTGAAGGTTGGGTAGTAATTGGTACCAGTGACTAGACTATAATGTTATCAGCTGTATCTTGTGGAAAAATTTGGATAAGAAAACCCCTTCAACTGCACGTCCATCAGGCAGTGGTCAACATGTAACCTCCTCAGTGCCCTGTGGGGAAAGGAGAAGCTTGAACTGGTCTTGTTGGAGGGTTCCCTGAGCAGACTGTCATTGGCAGAATGCCCCATTGCCAGAACTTTTCAACATGCACCAAGTTGTAGCCTGGCTGGCGGTGATCCTTCATGTATGTCCAGACTCCCTGAGCCACCCCACTCTGCCCTTGAGATGACCTCAGTGGTGAAGAGACTGTCACACATCTTCTTCTGGAAAGTTCCTTTCTGAAGGTCTGGAGAGAGATGCCATAGTTTTTGTCAAGGTTTGTCCTGAGCAGCTCTGTGACACGGGACTATGTCCTCTGTGTTGCCCACACACACTGAGACAAACAATGACTGCTCCTGGAGGACTATCAACTTGCTGAAAGATGCTCTTTGGTCTGCCCGAAACTTGTTGGTCTTCCAGAGCAAGGAGTTGACCTGACCGAGTGTTGCAGACTGGCACATTCCAAGGTCCAGGAATACGTGATGAGGGATGCACTAAAGCTGGGGCAGCTGTGGCCAAGGTGCAGTGGGAAAGACCACGTTCTGAGGTCCGTCTACCATGTAATACTGATCGTTTGTTACATCTCACAGCCTTTAGAGGATTGTAAATAATTTCTTGTTTACTAACTGTTTTTGTTTTTGCAATTGTTTTGAGGCTCTAATGAGAAATTTCACAATTTTACTGTATTTTCTGCAATGTCCAAAATGAACTCTTACCATATTGTACTTATAGATAACTTATGAATAAAGCGTATTTTTGCAAAACACATTTGCAAACCATCTGTGCAGCACAAATACGTGACCTTTAATGTGACTTCACTAGTGAAACATGACAAATCTTGCATGGAGAAAGTAAAAGTAGCTCAGTGGTAAGAATATGCTTAAAACTTTCAGGCGACCAGAAAGATAATTCCCATTAGATCCTTCCTCCATGCCTGAAAATGCACCCTGTAGTGATTGGAACCAGGTGGACATCATTGACTATGAGATCCACGACTGGAGTTGTTAACCTGAGCCAATCTAAAAGCCCTGGATGACCAATAATAACAAGGGATTTAGCAGCTCCTCAGTTCAGGGGACTGACACCAAGCTGGCTGGCTACAGTGTACTGTGCACGTGTAAATGAAGGGTGACTTGGTGATGGGATACCGGCACCAGTGCAGTTAATATCCACCCCTTCCTCACATTACCCTGGAGGAGGTTGAGAGACTGTTGTCCACTCCTCGTGAATGTGTCTCTGCAAAGAGGGTCTGGACAGACACAAACAGAAACTGCAGGAGAAACTCAGCAGGTCCAGCAGCATCTGTGGAGGGAGAGCAGAGTTACCATTTCGGGTCCACTGACCCATCATCAAAACCGATGATGGTGATGATGAAGGGTCACTATGGCCAAAATATTAACTCTGTTCTCTCTCGCTCTCTCCATTGATGCTGCCAAACCTGCTGGGTTTCTCCAGCATTTTCTGTTTCTATCTCAGATTTCTGGCATCTGCAGTTCATTTAAGGTCTGGACCGAGTCATTCTTGTCATGGTATGTGTAAGATGGTAATTGCCTGTAATACAGACCATTTATTTTGCAATGCATTAACATTTGTCCTTCATAGGACCCATTTATTGACTTGTAGGGACGACCAGCACAGACTACGGGGAAAACCATACAGTGTCTGAAATGGTGTCTATTTGGTCTTTAAATGTGGCATTGGAACTTTCAAACCTGGAAAGACCCTCCTGTGATCACATTTCCAACTCTTTCAATGCATGATTCACCAAGTAACACATGCAACATCTTATTTGTGGAGATATAGGGATGAGAACTGATATTGGGGCAGCACGGTGGCTCAGTGGTTAGCACTACTGCCTCACAGCACCAGGGACCGGCGTTCGATTCCAGCCTCGGGCAACCATCTGTGTGGAGCTTGCACATTCTCCCCGTGTCTGCGTGGGTTTCCTCTGGGTGCTCTGGTTTCCTCCCACAGTCCAAAGATGTGCGGGTTAGTTGGATTGGCCATGCTAAATTACCCATAGTGTCCAGGGATGTGCAGGCTAGGTGGACTAGCCATGGGAACTGTAGGGTTACAGGGATAGGGTAGGGAGGAGTGGTTTCTGGGTTGGATGCTCTTCGGAGGGTAGGTGTGGACTTGATGGGTCGAATGGTCTACTTCCACACTGTAGGAAACACATAATCTGTTGATATATCTCACCCTGGACCATGGTGGGGTATTACCAAATCCAACATACTTGCCCTCATAACTTCAAATGAGAAAATTCCACCAAAGATGACCGGGAATATTACTTTAAATGCACTAATGCAGTGGATCAAGAGAATCTAAAGGTTCTTACTAGTGATCACTGGAAAATCTTCCACAGACACTGTGTAATCAACAAATAGAATGGGCTCCAGAGAGAGTCATAGAATCATAGAATCCCTAAGGTGCAGAAAGAAGCCATTCCACCCATCAAGTCTGCACCAACCCTCCAAAGAGCATCCCAACCAGACCCAGCGTCCCCGCCCTATCCCCATATCTCTGTGTTTCCCATGGCTAGCCCACCCAGAATATCCCTGGACACTATGGGCAATTTAGCATTGCCAATCCACCTAACCTGCACACCATTGGACTGTGGGAGGAAACTGTAGCACCCAGAGGAAACCCACACAGACATGAGGAGAATGTGTAAGCTCCACACAGACATTCAGAGAATTGGAGACAAAAACATTGAGTGTACTTCAGAAGTGACTGGACCCAATACTGAAGAGAAAATAGTGTGACTTTGAGTGTAAGGTTTAAGGAGTGTCTTTATCACTTGGAAGACTCCTTTGCCTCTGGCCCATGTCAAACTCACTGCTAAACAGAGAAGGAGAACCGCGATTAGTTAAAGAGCTTACAGGCCTCTTCCTGTGCAATGATGCCTTCATGATTTAAGTGCAAAGCAATTGTCACAAAATCGTCAAGCAACTCTAAATGGAGTGTACCATAAACAAATGCGGAACATTATGTACAAACAAAGTAAGTATGACAGTGAATCTTTTAGTTGTTTAATCACATAATCAAAGGTTATTTTCCTTCTTGGCCTTTGCTTCCCACGAAAAACTCTCATTTTGCACAAAACAGAAAGCAGGAAATGAGGGCTGAGTGGTGTGAACTGCTGCAAACATAAGCAGACACAACCAAAAATAACCCCACCCCACAACTTTTCTCCTCATGATCCCTGACTGCTGTTTCAGAGTAACATTCCTGTAGGTCCATTCTTTTGTGATCTCTCCTCCTGGAGTTCTGGGAATGTTGGGAGATCTTGTTTCCCAGTGATGGCAACAGGAAGCAAGGCTATGCCCAATGCTAGACAACAATCTCCTGCCCACCGCTTGGCGAAACGGCACAGAGTGTACCCACTGGGCATTGGTACACCTGGTGGCATCAAGTTGTGTAAGTGTGTGAGTGGAGAGGGATGTTAGGCTGGGGTTTCGGATTGTACACTTCAGCACCAGAAGGAGAGTGTGAACTGAACGTTTCCTGCCCAGTTCACAGTGTTTGGATCTTTTAGAACGAATGGATCAGGATGAGCTTTGCCTCTCCACCCCTTTATTAACATACTTGGCTAAGGAAAGTTCATGCATTTAATCCACCAACTCTTACTCCAGACCACTGTAAAGCTTTTTGCCATTCTGGTATTATACCTGGGTTGTTGGACGCTTTAAGGTGTTCTGGTTTCCGAATGTTTCTGCCTGTCATGATGTAAAAGATTTCTTTATTTTATCTCTCTCTAATTTGCCTGTATTTGCATTTCTGTTAAAACAGGCCAGAGTCTGGAACTTGTCACTGAATGGAGCTACACATAAGAAAATCTTGACCAAAGATGTGGTCGCTGACACAAATTAGATTTGGCACAATAGATTTTTTTTTAAAGTTTGGACAATAGATTTTTGATTTTATTGTCACGTGTATTTCACAGTAAGAGTAGAATAAAATACAGTCAAAAGCTTTCATTTGTCGCCAGGATATGGCACCATTTTGAATAATTTCAGAATAAGGAAGAAAATAAAGATATAGCTTGAAGATCCTTTCCTGAACCACTCGCCACCACTTTGCTGCCATCTACACAGGACCCAACCAATGTCAAAGACACCAATCCCCAGAGCTGATTCTCCTCTGCCATCGTCTCGCTACCCCCTGCACTGGACCCACCATCATCAGCGTGTCTCTTGCTGCTGGGTCCACCTCATTGTTGTTGTCGTGATGCCCTTCCATCAACGTTTCGCTGCGCCAGCACCAGACCCAACCAACAATGAAGTTGCTGATCCTCATGCACCATAGGCCGCTGGGCCTATCTCACCCACATCATACCAGACATGTGAAACAGGTGGCTCACACACATAAACACCTTGTCTACAGTAACAGTCTTGGCAATGGTCATCAGGCCAGTTTGGAGGGGGGCTGGGGGAAGCAGAGGGTGAATGCTGTTCATCCTGCCTGAGGAATACAGCAGATCACACCTGTTTTGGCACAAACCTAGAGGAAGCCCCATACTGAGGTTAGGGTATGTTGTACAGAGGAGGTCTACCCGCTCTGAGAACTAACACCAAAACACCCAAAGAGGAGCACCTCGCCCTATAATCTGTAAAAGGAGCATGAAAAGTGGTGTAACCTACCTTTCAGCAACTTCTAGTGGACTAATCAAATAAATTCTCAACACTTACTTTACAATCAAGAAGTAACAAATTATTTATCTAACTCTAACAGTGAGCAAATTAACTAAACTATTAAAAAACTGAATAAACACCTTCTAACTACTACCATTCTCAAATAAAACAAGATTCTAATGGTACGCTGTTGTAACAAATACAAGTCCCACTTATTTAGGTTATGAGTCTTCTGAAATGTTCTGTGCCTTCTCCATCGTATCTTTTGGTCAGGAATATTGATTAGTTAAGCCTTTGGTACTATTGTTATTTAGGTGGTGCTTTCTCTAAGACATAGAGGAGGCTGCGAGAGCCAGTGATTCTCTCTTCAGGGCTGAGGGCGTTTAGCTCTAGCAGATGGCAATTAGCTCTCTGGTCTTTGTCTAACTGCCTCCTTCTTTTATATCCTTGATGACATATCAATACTTCTTTCAATAGGATTGGTCCTATGTTGTCAAAACCATAGATTTAAATTTAATTGGGTTTTGGTATCTAAGTGCCTGGTTCAAATTGATTGGCTAAATTCAAAAACTTGTTGTCCTGGTAAAAACTGCTGCTTGGCCTGCTAACTGTACGGCGTCTTGATACAAATATTTCAATTTGGGTGCTCTCTGTGTACTTGCAGACTTTCAAGCTGCTGCTTACAGGCATCCATTTTAAATCTCTAAGCACAGTAAAAGCACATCATCTTTTAAAGGGACCACACAATGCTCTCTCTTCCCCCCACCCCACCAGCATTTTACAAACATAAAATTCTAACTTCCTACCTCCCAATCCACAAATACTCTACCCAACATTGCAACAGTATGAACTACTGGCATTTGCCTAAGTTGCCAAAGCCTCGGCCAAAGAATGTATAAAAAAAACCTTCAAGAATGTTGATCAGTTTATGCTTCTGGCTGTGGACCCAATTCCAGGGTAACACATGGGACAGTTCATAACCACCTGATAACAAACTCTTTTACATGGGAACACCCTGAGCGACTGTTCCTGTGAGTATATATTGTTGTATGGTGTGTTAAGAAAGGGTAAACGTAGTAAGTGGAAGTTGCATTGATAACAAAGAGAAGATAAAGTCATCGTAGTCCCAGAGGACCATAGGCTGCTCTCTCATTAGAGAGAGAGAAACAGAGAGAGAGAGAAAGAGAGAGAAGATTTGTAGCTCGGGTTGTGGATGAGGTTGTAGACTTCCTCGCTGAGCTGATGTGTGTGAATGCAGACATTTCGTCACCCTGCTAGGTAACATCATCAGTGCGCCTCCAGTGAAGCATTGGTGTTCTGTCCCGTTTGTTATTTATGTGCTTTGATTTGCTGGGGTGGTCCAGAAGTGATGCCAACTAGCCCAACAAACCAAGGCATATAAGTAACAAGCGGGACAGAACACCAACGCTTCACCGGAGGCGCAATGACGATGTTACCTAGCAGGGTGACAAAACGTCTGCAACCAAAACCACCGGCTCGGCGAGCAAGTCTACAACCTCAGAGCAAGAGAGATGATGGGTGATGGCTCAACCTGAGGGTCACCATGTCTCAGACGCTTAGCAACTTTTAATAGATGCACCATAGAAAGCATCCCATCTAGATGCATCACAGCGTGCTATGGCAACTGCTGTTCCCAAAACCACAAGAAACTACAGTGAGTCATGATCACAAGCCCTGTCCATCATGCAAACCAGCCTTCAATTCTATGTCTTATCTGTACTTCCTGCTGCCTCGGGAGAGCAACTAACATGAAAGACCGTCTACAGGCAGATTGCACATACAAAGTATGTCAGAGTAGCAAAACAGAGTGCAGAGTATAGTGTTACAGCGGCAGAGAAGGTGCAGAGAGAGAGATCGACATTAACATTTGAGAGCTCCATTCAAAAGTCTGATGCCAGCAGGGAAGACCCCTCCCACCCCAGTTATACTATCTTCATCCTCTTCTGTTGAACAGAAGATATAAAAATTTGAAAACATGTATTATCAAATCCGAGAACAGCTTCTTCCCTGTTGTCGTCAGACTTTTGAAAGGACCTCTCAAATGTTAATGTTGATCTCTCTCTCTTCACCTTCTCTGCGGCTCTAACACTGTACCCTGCAATCTAATCTGTTCTGCTACCCTGACGTGCCTTGTATGGTGCGATCTGCCTGTAAAGCATGCAAAACAACACTTTTCACTGTATCTTTGTAAATGTGACAACAATAAATCAAACCAAAACTCAAAGGGAGAGGTTACTAAGTGGGTCCTTCATAGTAACTGAACCTGTGCTATTGACATTATTCTGCATCACAAAGCAGCTATCTATCCAACGGAGCTAACTATGCCCCTGCATTCATTGTAGTGCTTTGTATGATAGATATCAAAGTATGAGATGAAAGGGTAGGGAAACCCTGTCTCCCCCTTTAATTTACTTCACTCAGTTTGCATTTAGCTGATTGATGTCTAACATTGAAACATACTTATTCTTCTCGTATTTCCTAGTCCTCCTCCTTATTTTTATTCAGTGGTCTATAGCATATTCTTGATATTAGTTTGGAATTTTTAAAATTAGGCTGTTTAATCAGAAGGGGCATTTTTTACAACTTTTTACATACCACATAATCAACTTCTTCTACCTCCCAAGTGTCACTGATTTGTCATCCATTTGGGATTTTAAATGTCAATATCCTGAATCTATCCTCACTTTCTCTGGTTGGAGTCATACCTAGCTCAAATGAAGACGGTTGTGGCTGTTGTCAGCTCCAGGACATCTCTGCGGAAGTTCCTCAGGGTAGTGTCCTAGGTCCAAACATTTTCAGCTGCTTCATCAATGACCTTCCCTCCATCGTAAGGTAAGAAGGGGGAATGTTCACTAATGATTGCACAATGTTCAACTCCCTAGATTCTGTAGCAGTCAATGTCCATCTTCAGCAAGGCAACGCTTCTCCTTCCTCAGGCAGCTAAGGAAATTTGGCATGTCCATAAGGCCCCTCGCCAACTTCTACAGATGCACCATTGAAAGCATACTGTCTGGGTGCATATTGGCCTAGTACGGCAACTGCTCTGCCAAAGACCATAAGAAACTACAGAAGGTGGTGTGCACAGCTCAGACCATCATGGAAGCCAACCTTCCATCCATGGGCTGCATTTACAGGGCTCACTGCCGCAGAAAGACTGCCACCATCATCAAATATCCATCGCACCCTGGTAATGATCTTCTACAACCTCTTCCATCAGGCAGAAGATACAGAAGCCTAAATTCACGTATGAGTGGGTTCCCGAACAGCTTCTTCCTGGCTGTTATCAGACTGATTAATGGACTCTCTAGTCTCAAATAATGCTAATCTTGTTAATGTTGATCTGCCTAGCGCACACACTGTGCAATGTAACCTGTATGCTTCTGTCTAATTCTTTTTACAACCTCTGATTGTACATCCTTGGTTACTATGATCTGCCTGGACTGCTCATAAACAAAGCTTTTCACTGTCCTTCGGTATACATGACAATAAATCAATCAATCAAGACATGGCCAATTATCAGGCTTGCGCTGATAAATGACAAGTAACACAAAAATACCAGACAATAACTACATCACACAAAAATGATTCTAATCATCTCTCTTTGATATTCAATAGCATTACCATTGTTACCCCTGGGGTTAGGATGAACATCCTGAGGGTTTCCATTGTCCTTTAATTGAACTGGTCCTGCCATATAAATCCTGTGGCTGCAAGGACAAGCCTGAGAATGGGAATACTGCAGTGAGTAACTCACTACCTGTCACCCCAAAGCCCTCCCGCCATCTACAAGGCACAAGTCCCCACTTAGCTGGATAAACGCAGATCCAACAACACTCAAGAAACTTGATTGGCACCTCATCCAACACCTTCAACATTACTCTCCCAATGCTCACTGACAGCATTCTGGACCACAGCGATGTATACAATGTAGAAGCTGCACAGCAGCACTTCACTAAAGTTCTGTTGGCAGCACCCTTCAAATCTGTGGCCTTTCCCATCAAGACGAACAAGGGCAGCAGATACATGGGAACCACTTGCAAGTCCCCATCCAAGCCACACACCATCCTGACTCAAAAATATATCATCGTCCCTACAGTGCCACTGGATTGAAATTCTAGAATTCCCTTCCCAACAGCATTGAGGAGCAGTGGCTCAAGAAAGCATCTCACCACTACATTCTGCAGGACAATGGGTGGACACTAAATGTTGGCCAGCCAGTGACACCCACATCCCAAGATTGAGGGCTTTTAAAGTCTTACAGATGTGATTCCCCTCACATTCACACCGTTCATTGTCCTTGCTCGAGATGTTTCCTCCCCCTTGTTGTACAACATTCCAAGTTCCTGCAAGCTCCTAGTTTAAATGATTCTTAATAGCTGCCTCAATGACTATCACTTTCTTTGACCAGATTTGCTTTGTAAGCTCTATCTATGTAAGGGGTCCACTTTATTCTGCAAAGAATCACAGAATCTTAGAGCTATACAGCACAGAAACAGACCCTTTGGTCAAATTCATCCATGCCAACCAGATATCCTAAATTAGTCTAGTCCCATTTGCCAGTATTTAGCCCATATCCCTCTAAACCCTTCCTATTCATGCACCCATCTGGATGCCTTTTAAATGTTGTAATTGTACCAGCCTCCACCACTTCCTCTGGCAGCTCATTCCATACACGCACCACCCTCTGTGTGAAAAAGTTGCCCCTTAGGTCCTTTTTAAATCTTTTCCTTCTCTCCTTAAGTATATGTCCTCTAGTTTTGGACTCCCCTACCCTGGGGAAAATACCTTGTCCATTTATTCTATCCATGCCCCTCATGATTTTATGAAGTTCTATAAGGTTACCCCTCAGCCTCTGACACTCCAAGGAAAATAGCCCCAGCCTATTCAGCCTCTTCCTATAGCTCAAACCCTCCAACCCTGGCAACATCCTTGTAAATCTTTTCTGAACCCTTTCAAGTTTCACAACAACCTTCCTATAGCAGGGAGACCAGAACTGAACACAGTATTCCAAAAGTGGCCTAACTGACGTGCTGTAGAGATTCCAATCAAGTTAATGTGAGCACTTTCTTGTCCCATTGACAGCTCATTGGACACAAGTTGGCTAAAAATACTTGACTCGACAGAGACATTATTACATACTTCTGGGGGTGGGACTTGAACTCGGGCTTTCTGGCTCAGAGGTGGAGATATTACCACTGTGTCTCCAGAGCCCCCCCAAGACTGGGAATTTCCAGAGGTAGGCAGAAGTGCTTGACTCATTGGAATTGGCCATTTGTGTTGGTGAGGGAAGGGAATGGGAGCTGACAATAAGCTGATAATGATCGATCTTCTCCGCAGTGCGACGTCATGTGTTAAAAGAGAGTCAGATGATGCTGGGTCATACCCGGAGACAGCTAGAGATTGCGCTTTGTTTGTGTCTATTTATACGGGCAGACGTACCGAGTTTTCTTTACACCGCTCTCGGACATTGTGCATTTGAAGGATTTGAGGTATGGGATTCGTTGGTATCTCTGCAATTCTCTAGTTCATTTACTGGGGTTTGCCGAAGTGTTAATTTTCTTTTATATAAAGTAAAAATTTTGTACGATGACGGTGTGTGGGTTAGAATCTGTTATTCAACAACAGCTGTAATGTTGTAAACGTTCTGGAAGAAAGTCTCTCGTAGCTCACCGCCTCAAAAGTCAAGCAATGTTGTGTATGTTAATGTTAGTGCGGGTGTTTCTTTTTGTGTATTTAAAGCGTTTTGGTAAATAACTGACTCAAGGGCGATTGTTCATTATCGTTGTATTTAAAATAGTTCGCTTTTTAAATCCTGGTGCTTGGTAAAGAGATAAAGTTAGTACATATTCTTATTTTAATCTTTTTATAAGACGCTGTATTAGGTCAACATCTCTTTTTAAAGCTAGCTACCACGATGATGTGGGAAGAACTAACTTTATTTAGAAGCTACTTTACTTTTTACGGAAGAATCCACAAATTTCTCAACTCGCAAAGTCCCCTAAGCACTGCGAAATGACCTCAGTAGCTAGTTTTAATTTGAAATTTGTTTCACCGGTCATTAAGCAAGGTATATTTACACTAGCCAAAATAAACATTGCCATTAAAGCAACAGGTAGTTTCTGTTAAGTGATTGGAGAGTAATTTTGAGTGGGGTTGGAAATAGGATCATTAAACTATAGCTGTTTAGTACTAAATAGCCAGAGCTTAATTCGAAAACGAACTTTTCATGCTCTCTGAATTTTGGATCTGCAGTAGACTTGCAAGGAAATGGAGTTTTAAAAAAAAACTGAAAAGCCACCAGGATTCAAAATGTCAACTCTGCTTTCTTTGCGCAGATGCTGCCAGACCTGCTGAGTTTTCCTGCAACTTGTTTTGCTTTGAAAATAAACTTAGTATCTTATGTTTTTGCCACTTTTTAATGGGTTAATACACCTGTAAATGGCAAGCTGTCTATAGGGGATCACTGGAATGAACATGAACACTCAAGCCAGAGATAGTAGGAACTGCAGATGCTGGAGAATCCGAGACAACAAGGTGCAGGGCTGGATGAACACAGCAGGCCAAGCAGCATCATAGGAGCAGAGAGGCTGACGTTTCGGGCCTAGACTCCTCTTCATCAGAAGAGGGGGAGGGGAAGGGGGTTTTGAAATAAATAGGGAGAGAGTGGGAGGCCGATAGAGGAGAGGATAGGTGGAGAGGAAACAAACGGGTCGAAGAGGCGGGGATGGGGCCAGGAAAGGTGAGTGTAGGTAGGGAGTTAGGGAGGGGATAGGTCAGTCCAGGGAGGACGGACAGGTCAAGGGGGCGGGATGAGGTTGGTCGGTAGGAGATGGAGGTGCGGCTTGGGGTGGGAGGAGGGGATAGGTGGGAGGAAGAACAGGTTAGGGAGGCAGGGACGAGTTGGACTGGTTTTGGGATGCGGTGGGGGGAGGGGAGATTTTGAAACTTGTGAAATCCACATTGATACCATTGGGCTGCAGGGTTCCCAAGCGGAATATGAGTTGCTGTTCCTGCAACCTTCGGGTGGCATCGTTGTGGCACTGCAGGAGGCCCAGGATGGACATGTCGTCTGAGGAATGGGAGGGGGAGTTGAAATGGTTCGCGACTGGGAGGTGCAGTTGTTTGTTGCGAACCGAGCGTAAGTGTTCTGCAAAGCGGTCCCCGAGTCTCCGCTTGGTTTCCCCGATGTAGAGGAAGCCACACCGGGTACAGCGGATGCAGTATACCACATTGGCAGATGTGCAGGTGAACATCTGCTTGATGTGGAAAGTCTTCTTGGGGCCTGGGATGGGGGTGAGGGAGGAGGTATGGGGGCAGGTGTAGCACTTCCTGCGGTTGCAGGGAAAAGTGCCGGGTGTGGTGGGGCTGGAGGGGAGTGTGGAGCGGACAAGGGAGTCACGGAGAGAGTTGTCCCTCCGGAAAGCAGATAAAGGTGGGGAGGGAAAGATGTCTTTGGTGGTGGGGTCGGATTGCAGATGGCGGAAGTGTCGGAGGATGATGCGTTGGATCCGGAGGTTGGTGGGGTGGTACGTGAGGACGAGGGGGATTCTTTTTTGGTTTTTATTGCGTGGACGGGGTGTGAGGGATGAGGTGCGGGAGATGTGGGAGACACGGTTGAGGGCGTTCTCGACCACCGAGGAGGGGAAGTTACGGTCCTTGAAAAACGAGGACAACTGAGATGTACGGGAGTGGAATGCCTCATCCTGGGAGCAGATGCGGCGGAGGCGAAGGAATTGGGAATAGGGGATGGCATTTTTGCAGGAAGGTGGGTGGGAGGAGGAGTATTCTAGGTAGCTGTGGGAGTCGGTGGGCTTGAAATGAATATCGGTTTCGAGGTGGTTGCCCGATATGGAGACAGAGGTCCAGGAAGGGGAGAAAGGTGTTAGAGATGGTCCAGGTAAATTTAAGGTTGGGGTGGAAGGTGTTAGTGAAGTGTATGAACTGTTCGAGCTCCTCGTGGGAGCACGAGGCGGCACCGATACAGTCATCAATGTAACGGAGGAAGAGGTGGGGTTTAGGGCCGCTGTAGGTACGGAAGAGGGATTGTTCCACGTAACCTACAAAGAGGCAGGCGTAGCTTGGGCCCATGCGGGTACCCATGGCTACCCCCTTTGTCTGTAGCAAGTGGGAGGAATTGAAAGAGAAGTTGTTGAGTGTGAGGACGAGTTCGGACCGTAACTTCCCCTCCTCGGTGGTCGAGAACGCCCTCAACCGTGTCTCCCACATCTCCCGCACCTCATCCCTCACACCCCGTCCACGCAATAAAAACCAAAAAAGAATCCCCCTCGTCCTCACGTACCACCCCACCAACCTCCGGATCCAACGCATCATCCTCCGACACTTCCGCCATCTGCAATCCGACCCCACCACCAAAGACATCTTTCCCTCCCCACCTTTATCTGCTTTCCGGAGGGACAACTCTCTCCGTGACTCCCTTGTCCGCTCCACACTCCCCTCCAGCCCCACCACACCCGGCACTTTTCCCTGCAACCGCAGGAAGTGCTACACCTGCCCCCATACCTCCTCCCTCACCCCCATCCCAGGCCCCAAGAAGACTTTCCACATCAAGCAGATGTTCACCTGCACATCTGCCAATGTGGTATACTGCATCCGCTGTACCCGGTGTGGCTTCCTCTACATCGGGGAAACCAAGCGGAGACTCGGGGACCGCTTTGCAGAACACTTACGCTCGGTTCGCAACAAACAACTGCACCTCCCAGTCGCGAACCATTTCAACTCCCCCTCCCATTCCTCAGACGACATGTCCATCCTGGGCCTCCTGCAGTGCCACAACGATGCCACCCGAAGGTTGCAGGAACAGCAACTCATATTCCGCTTGGGAACCCTGCAGCCCAATGGTATCAATGTGGATTTCACAAGTTTCAAAATCTCCCCTCCCCCCACCGCATCCCAAAACCAGTCCAACTCGTCCCTGCCTCCCTAACCTGTTCTTCCTCCCACCTATCCCCTCCTCCCACCCCAAGCCGCACCTCCATCTCCTACCGACCAACCTCATCCCGCCCCCTTGACCTGTCCGTCCTCCCTGGACTGACCTATCCCCTTCCTAACTCCCTACCTACACTCACCTTTCCTGGCCCCATCCCCGCCTCTTCGACCCGTTTGTTTCCTCTCCACCTATCCTCTCCTCTATCGGCCTCCCACTCTCTCCCTATTTATTTCAAAACCCCCTTCCCCTCCCCCTCTTCTGATGAGGAGTCTAGGCCCGAAACGTCAGCCTCTCTGCTCCTATGATGCTGCTTGGCCTGCTGTGTTCATCCAGCCCTGCACCTTGTTGTCTCGGATTCTCCAGCATCTGCAGTTCCTACTATCTCCTTGTATGCAGTCCAGCACAGTGTGAAAAGCAAGACAAAAGCAGTTGCATTCCTTTTACAACTGCAAGTGTTCGCTGGATAGTCCATCCTGAGGTCCCTGGCATCATGCAAGGGCTGCATTGTTCAAGGAGGCAACTTGCTGGGGCAGCAGCTAAGCACTTGCTGACTTTTTTGCCCATTGGCAAACAAGTTTAAATTTACACCTGGACAGTGCAGGCTTGGTTTCTGGTGGTTACACTGCTGTTTTTGTCATTTAAAAGCTTTAAATCCCACGTATGCCAACCGTTCTGCAACAATCCAAACTGCTCTGTTCATCCCTGCACCCCCCACACCCCTGTTTCACATATACCTAGCTGTCTGATGGTGAGCAAACATTAACCAAAATGAGTGGTCAATGGTTGACGTTCATGATTCATCTTGGCAACACATTAATGGTAGAGAAATTGGATTGGCAGTAATGTCTTAAAGTATGAATAGCTTTTTAGCTTTTCTGCAATGCTGGAGAAACTAAGCAGGACCGGCTGAATCCATAGAGCAAGTTTAACATTTGAATCCAGTGAATTTTTTTTGGGCAACTGTTTTCAGTTCTTAAATACTAGCATTTATCACAAAGTAGACTGAATGAACAACCTGTTTGCTATGGGGAAAGTAATGAATATTTGAATGAGTTGAGACGTAACAATTTTTGAAAAGCAAAAGCAATTATAAAAATGCTGTGACGCATTTGTGGCAGGATTGAGTCAGTCAATTGGTGAGAAATTGTCATTTCTCAACAGGAAATTGAGCAAAGACCAGATTAGTTTGGCCTTAGTGTAAGTGATAAACTTGTGATTTGAAGGGAAATTAAGTAACCCAAGAAGAAGGAGTCTTAAACCACTTTCAAGTGAAAATGGAAGAAAAGAGAACTGAAACAGGAGCAGGCGCTCTGCGAACACTAAAGCTTTGCTACCATTTTAATCTGACAAACAGTATAATTTGTCACCTCTAATCTTTTCTTAAACAAAGGAATAACCCCCCCACCCCCATCAGACTCCTGAGTTGGGGCAGCATCAGTAAAACAGTTCTCCACTGCATCTAACCAGACAGGAAGGTTTCCTCTAATCAAAATAAAACTACCTTTTGCTTCTGGTAAATGAATAAATAAACAAATGGCTTCT